AAGAACAAGAGAGCCACAACCAACCACCAACCTGCACCCCGAGGTTTTTCATCTAGGGCCGGAGGAGTTACGGGATCCATCCCGCTGACATAGCTTATATCTAGCCACAAGATCCTCCTTGCTGATAAAGCATATTTTTAACTATATAAGTAGCAAGATCTCTACATTCGAGGAGGATAATCTTTGCCAGTACTTACACCAGTTCAGTTATATAATTATAATTCATTATATCATTATATTGTAAAATTCAATTATTTTATATATTTTATTGTAATTTTAAGAAATAAAGTTTTTTTATTTTATTCTCGAATAACGAGTATAAAATTATAGTTTAACTTTTATGACGGTTACTACAGTAACCTGTCACAACCGTACCCAGTCTCCCTAACACATATTTTGTTCACGCTTTTGAAGTTTATATTTCATATTTCGAGTGCTTAATGTTTTATGCTAGAAAATTAATTCAGTTCTATTATTATTCAAATTGAATAAATTTTCATGAATTCTTTACTTCATTCGCCAAGTTCATTTGTTCAAAACTTTGTGATTCTGTCCGTAACATTTTGCTGAAACTGACAAACATGAAAATGTTGAATACTTTCGCATGAATTGCGCTGTAAAACTTTGCCGATTTTGGCGTTATTCGCAGCTTTTGAGCTTTGCTCAACGGTTTCATTCAACCACTACGGATAAACATTATTTTCATTCTGTCACAAACGGGAAATATAATCTACTATTGTATAATTTTTTCAAAAAACGGGTAATAAATCGAAATATATTCTATACCAATGTCTAATTAAGTTCATACAGTCATCAATTGTAAACTAGGATTTATTCATTCTGGGATAACTTTGAAACTCTGTCAATAAAAATGTCTATTCCTAATAGGGACGACGGAACACGCTATTTTAATTGAATTCTAAAAGTTTGCGAGAGTCGCACGGCGGGACGGAAACTTTTCGCACGTCTCCCGCCGTTCGTAAGACAAATGCCACATTGCGAGGGATTTCTAAAGGTTTTTATAGCGAACATAATTGTTTTTATGTGATACGAATGTTAGAAGAGGCTCTGGTTTTAAAAATGAACTGAAAAACGATTGTCTTCTAATAACTTTTGGAGTAGGTAAAAACATACTGATTTGACCTACTTATTGAAATTTAGGATAGCAATATGGAAAGCGGTGGGCTATTCAGGCCAGAGAGCCTACTTAATTAATTTTTTAAAACTTTTATATCTTGCAAATTGATTAAAATAATTATATATATACTAGCCGGCCCGACAGACTTCGTCCTGTCAAAAAAAATTGTAATGTGGCGGTGTTTTGTGCCTACCTTTTTTCTATTCTTTGCAAAAAAATTATCCTGAACAGAACCGTCACCCTGGTAATAATTCGGTGTGAATTAAAAATAATTAAATAAAACATTATAAGCATTTAAAAGTAAGTAATTTTAATAATGTAAATCATAATTCATAAATCAGTTCAATTTTCATTGTAGTGCTTTGTGATAAACGGTGTTTTTTGTTTGATTACCTGGCGCATAGACAAACAAATCTGATGGTTTTCCAATACGGGAACAGACAACATACAATTTTCAATGTGAGAAACATGTTTTTTTTTTTAAATTAATACCACAAACACTTAATGATACCATAAACGCACTGGAAACTGTAGTCGTTTAATCTCAAATGGCACATCAGTCGGAATCATTGGGATGCATGGTGCGAGAGCATCTTCTGCTTTAAACTATTCTTTGAATATAGTTGGTCGGTATTTCGCAACATTATAATTGCGGATCCAACCTTTAATTGAAGATTGTGAGGTGACAATCCTAGCAAATCCAGCGAGTTTAAAAACTCCGGTGGATCGTCTTGGTTAGTTGCCGAATCAACTGATTCGCCTGTGATTTGTTCTTGAATTTTGAAATTTAATTAATTTACATCAATGTTTTTGGCTGCCAATATAGCTGATTAATAGAAAAATATTGATTAATAGAAAGATATTTCTATGTTTATATAAATATATTCAAAATTAGATTATCAAAAACTACACAAAATGTCATGACATAGATCATTGTTTTTTTTTACAAATTGCGTTGCCTACTCGATTAAAGAAGAAAAGGGCTGTTTTTAGGGTTTTCCCGGCAATTATTCGTTTTTTTTCGCCGTAACAACCATCCTTGGACTTCAACGAACATTTTAAAAAAAGAATTGGCCAAATTGGTCCAGGCGTTGTTGAGTTATGCGCTTACCAACACATTTTGCAATCCATTTTTATATATAAGATATATATATATATATATATATATATTACATATGAAAATAGAATACCAAATCAATAACAAATAGAAAATGTATATACTCCCTCATGAAAAATATTATCTATAACTTAATTGTTTAAAATAAAGTATTTTATTCAGATAAACTCGAATCGAATCAATTTTTATATTAAAATTTAGTAAATTTTAGATAACATTAGAAATTTTTTCTGTATTAGAAGTATATTTAATATTTCAATTTATACATAATTAACCTCAAATCTTTTTGATAAAAGTAAAGAAATTTAAGGTGGATGTTGAAATGATGTTTAAAAATAGTGTTCTTAATCCAAAAATATAATGAAATATTAAATTATTTATTCCAAAGCTACATTAATTACAATTAAACTATTTATTCCAAAGCTACATTATTATTTATTCCATTTTATTGCCGTTACATGATACATGATACTTGCCACTTTAGCTACATAATTGAGCTATAATTTTTTTATTTCTACAAGATTTTACTGTTTTGTAATATTATCGTTCATTACTTTTTCATAGTATTATTAATCTTTTCTCTATTTTCTTATATTGCTTCAAAATGATGTAGATCTTTATCATTAACATCACATAGATTTGTCAATATGTATTCTACTAATTTAACAAAAAAGCTTTCTACTGGGTAAATCTTTTTCTTCTATATTACGCAAGATAAATTTAAATTTACTGAATATTTATACTATATGAAAAAAGATTGTAAGTTTATCTGATTTTTCCTATTTAGGTTTATTTATTCTCATCCACATTTGATAGGACTTAAAGCTTTTTATTAGAAGTAACAGTAGGTTTCTTGTCCTGTTTTTTCAAATTTTATTTGTACATTTTTATATAACCTTGTTCATACAAAAGTTTATTAATGTAAATGCACGTTTATTAACGTGAATTGATTGTGAATTGTAATTTAAATTTAGTCATAATGAATCAGCAACACACACTAATTATTAATTTTTTTTAGTGGAACAAGGCATATTGGCATGAAGGTTGATCCATATATACTTGCTTGAAATAGTTAAGAAATTTTATGTTTTTATTAGGAACAGAGACTCAGAGTTTTAAATTTATATACAGAATGTGTGTGTAAATTATTTACCAAGTCATCTTAAGTTCTACTTTATACAAGTCTATTCATAAATTCTTTCTTATCATAATAATAACTAACTGACCTAAACAGCAAACATTATTTATATTTTAAAAACACAGGTTAAAAATGTAAGAAAAACAATTTTTGCAGATAATATAAGAGTATTAGTGCGTAAATCTTCGCAACCATAAGATTGCAGGTTCAAATCCCGCGATATTTCGAATATGTCTAGAATATGTTTCTAAGTGAAAATAACCTTTTGGAGCTTCTCTGTACTTCTTGACTTATTAAGAAAAACTGCTGAATTACCCTCTAATAGCGTTCTGAAATAAATTAATACAATTCTCAATTAGTAAAGACGATCACTGGGTCACCTTGTAATAGCGTTCGTAAAAGCAACAAACCCGAGTAAACAGAAGTAAGCATTAGCTTCCAAATCTTACTCTTTTGTTACTGTTCAACAAAGTAACAATAAAAGTAGAAAAAAGTAATATTAGATTAAGAATAAGCCAATTAATAAATATATTTTTAACTGTATGCGGAATAGATAACCAACTTTGCCCATTGAAATATAGGAGCAACTTAGAAAATTGAGACGTATTGAGTCACTAGCGCCCGATTTACAATAAATCAGGACGGTGAACTGCGTATTCTTGGCTGAAACTTTTAAATAATGGTTAATCAAGTTTCTCTTGGAAGTAATTTTATTCAATAAAATATTTTTGCAGTGAAACGACACATTGTTTTAAAGGCATTTGATAAAAACCCAATTTTTGCACACAAAGAAAATGCTACCCGTAGCATTATCCATGTATCCTCCTGGTACCAGGCAGCTGTAACCCAATTTATTGATTTGTAAAGGTCGTTATTATAAATTTAATCTAATGTTTTCAATGAGGAATGGAAATAAAACAATTTCCATATATTATTCCATATTTTCCGTCCTGCAATAGTCGCTTCTTTCGTCCTTGTGAGGCGAATAAAATCAATACTTTAAACCACAAAGGTTATTTTAATACGTTACAAATCCTATAATATTTCCGGATATTATTGAAAATCCTGTAACTAAACAGAATGGAAAAATATGTTTCTCGTTCCATCGTTGACAAAATCATGAACAAACATGGGTAGATGCTAGTCATATTTATATATGGATTATGAATTTTTATGGTTTTTAATATCATGTTTATAGTATTGAGAAAATCTAATCACTCAATAACGACGAGTAAAATTTGATAAATACGTGTTATTTTTGAAGGAAACACATAGGGTATGTTTTATCCAGATGTGTACTTTAAAGGTGAATTCAAATTGAATTGAGTAGGGTCAAATTCAATTTATTTTGCAGACGAGTGATATATATATATATATATATATATATATATATATATATATATTGACATAATACTTTATTCTTTGCAATAGACTTAATACTCAAAAGAAATCATACATTTGACTGGCAAAATGTCATTATATACACTTACATAAGATCAAGTTGCTGCAAACAACTTTAATATATGTTTTAATGTAGTAGAATATATTATGATATATGTTTATATATGCAGTAAATATTGGAATTTAATATCAACAATTATTTACAGTGTGCTAAATCGAAGTCCTGAGCATCTCATCAAGGAGATCATCCTCGTAGATGACTTCAGCGATCATCGTAAGTTGACCATATTTTTCTATATATATATATATATATATATATATATATATATGTATATATATATAAATATATATATATATATATATATATTAGGGTGTCCCTTAATATGGACATTTTCGAATTTCCTTGCTTCCAGAGGCTCAAATGGTTCCAAATTGATAAAAACCAATTCTCTGAAAGTTTTAGCTATTAATATTAACTTTTAGATATTACGCAATTCAATCAAACTTAGCACTGTAATCCTTGAATATAATTTTTTTAAGGGTAGGTAATGTACGAAATCGCAAATTGATTGATTTTATTATTTGCTTATACCAACTACGAATACTTACAAAATATTGAACACAATGCCAATTCAACATCGATTGCCATACCATTTTACAAGAGATATAAAAATTTTTTTTGTCTTCCCAAACTCATATCGCAATGTAAGTCACTACTTCTACTCTAATTCAGTCAGTACTTCTCATCTGGGAATTCCATACAGTCAATTTAGTTCTACAAATGATAATTCGGTTCGCCTTGTTTAATTAAATATAGCAATTCATTCCGTAGCTCAGAGGATTTGCATGTGACGTTTCTAGAAACTAAATTTATTCAAACATTAATTTAACATACCATCAAATACAGATAATAGTTAACTGCTTTCTCGTTATCTGACGCTGACACTATAAAAGCAATAAACACGTTCAAATTTCATTTCAGTTTCTGTTGCCTTGGCTTTGCTCTACTGAAAATTGCCATTGTGGCTTCTCATTGTTTTATGTTTATATTAGTCGAAGCTTGTGTATTCTGTGAAATACTGGGTGCAGGAATTTGAATGCAATTGCATCTTCTGTTAAATAATGTTTGATATTATACGAAATTATAATAATACATTTCAGCTCCGCTAACAATATTTGAATATATCCAGTTCATATCACAATTATTTGATTGTATAATAAATTTAAATAATATTTGCATTATAATGTAGATATGATTTTCTACCTAATATATCTTAACTTACTATGTAAAATTCAATTGCGTCAGATTTTACATGAAAACGTGAAACTTTTCATAATGTGCTTGTTTTACTCACTTAATTGCTCAACAAAACTTATGGTATGCTGGTCTTTGTCATAAAGGAGCTCTGCTTTAGTTTAAATAGTTTCGAGAATAACTACTACCTTTTACTACTCGTGAAAATACCAGAGAAAGTTGAATCAAGTTTCCTTGGAATTAACAAACTGTCGAAATAAAATAAGTGGTTCAGAAGAGCAAATAAAACAATCTGTTGCCGTTCTGTTTTAAAAATTAAATAAATATTCATATTTTGAAGTCTCAAAATTTACTAAAAAAATAGCATGGCATGCTCAAGCAAGTGTAATATATATATAAATGACTAAATTTGCATAGTTGGGAAATAGATAAGGTTTCATTAATAACTTATTCATTCAGTTTAAATCAATTGAAAGCATATAAGTTATTCAGTTGAAAGGTTCTACATTTTGAATGATTTTAAATCTGCTAATTTTGAAGCAAATGATATTGAAACCTACCGACAATTCATGTATAATAATACCTATATCTACCGCGCGCGGTCAATTGACCTACAGTTCAAAAGTTATTTATTTTATTATTTAATTCAGATAGTTTTTGACTTATTATTCAATGTATACACAATAAAAAAATCGTAAAGTTTTCTCTAAATTTATTTTTATGTAGTTTCTAAAAGAAATTATAAGAAAAGAACAACTAAAATTATATATTTATACAGAATGCCATATGCATACATAATATACTTCATTCGTCTCACATTGTGTATATATTATTTTAGTTATTTGATGCAAATATATTTGTTTTTTGTAACGTTCGCAAAGTTTATTTGACTAGTTTTTCGACCACACAAACCCAAACTTCTGGACAGTGTTGATAAATGCTTGATTTTCTTGAGATCTTGAACAAGCATAATTAAAAAAATTGTGCCTAAAAATGCTTTCACTCGTCGTCTCTATATAAACATTTTATGCATTTATCTAGCTAGGATCAAAATGTTGAAATATTTCTAAAGTTGCCACCTACAAATTTTCGACTCCATGTTACATTTTTAGCCATCTGCCCTGTCACATTTTCACCAAACAATGTACTAATACAAAATCTAAAGTTTTCGTTACACTTTTGCTACTTTCTCCTATTTTTATTGGGACAAGCATTTTTTCAGTTATTTTTATACACTGTGTGAGTAATGAAATTTGATTTATATAATTATTTTCAGAATTTTAATGAATTAATCAGTTTTAAAACAACAAACTTCATACACCATCCAGAACTTTATTCTAAATTTGTCTGGTGTACTTGGTGTATTTTGTATAAATCTGCACCTACATTTTGATGGAAACACCTCACCAAATTGCATTATTTTCCAGCGGTCAAATTGACCGACCACCTCTGACAATTTTTTTCGGAAAATAGAAAAAATAACTCAAATCAAAGATCTAAGTTATATGCGAAGTTTAAAACGGCCTTGGTAGGTTTAGTGTTAAAAAAGCAATTTATAATTATACTAGTCTTTATGGTGGCTTATTCATTTTAGAATGGATAGTGATTGCATAGTTAAGTTTATTTCTTGTTAACTTCTTTGAAAAAATATGTTCTGTAAAATACTGTTACATTATATTCATAAGCTTTGTGGTTGTTTAATTTATGTTATGTTGTGTTACATAATTCTAACAATAGAAATGGCCCTAAATCATTTTGGTGCTTAGTGTATTGTCTTTTAAACACCAGGACATTCGACCTTTTTGCATCATATTTAGTATTTTTGCATTTTAGATTTAATTTACTTTTTTCTCAGCTAGCTGGTAAATTAACAATACTATTGCTGATCAAAAAAGTGGCACAACTATCTTAATTCCAAACATCAATAAAACATCTTATAATTAATTAAATTGACAAAAATAAATGATTGATACTGAAGATATATTGCAGCATGATACCAATAAAAACATATATATGCTATCAATATGCAAACTCGCCCCGACTGTATTTTTCATTTCAATTTATTTACTTCATACTTATTTCACTCAGAAATTCATGTAATAATTTTATATCGAGAATTTTATTATTTACGTCTTGCACAGAAATTCACTTTTGATGCATCGTGTTCATCTTCTGGTGAAACTACGGGGACATAAAACAGAGTCGTAAATCGTCCAACGCGAATGTAGTATCTAGTTTTGATGACCGCGGCTGCGGACAAAAGCGAAATAATAAAAGACTTTAATAATAATTCAAGCATGGCCCAAGTTTTTATACCAGCGCGATTTCTAGGAGGTAATAATGTCGTAATGGAGGATTTATAACAAAAAATAACAGAGACCATCAGCCGGTAGCATCTTTACGACGTTACGCGAACGCAAATATCATATGACAAATTGTAGAGACAGCTTGAACATATATACATTCATAGAGAAAAATGCCAAGCCATAATAAAGTCTATCGTCACATGGCACTGAGATATCAAATGAGGAGGGCGGGATAAAATATTATAAAAAAGTTTCTGGGAATGATAAAGAAAACTATCACACCGATTTGGTTTCTTAAGATATATTCTTTCAATATGTTGCGATGATAAAAAGTTTATGCGATTATAAATACTTCCCAATAAAATGATTTTACATATACCAATATCTGTCAATAATTTCGTTGACTGTGCTTAATTTTTATCTTCCTCTGGGGTAAGTTACAGCAATCGCAAAATAATCAAAGTGTCAATTTTTGCAAATCTTCACGTTTTGAAGGTTTCTGTACATTTTGCAATACCTTTTGAACAATGGATGTGTGTGTGTGTGTTTGGATACAAATTTTCGTTTTTATAAATACAGATCAACCGATTTTAATAATTCAAAAAGCATTCTATTTGTATCGGTGATGATTAATTTTTTGAGAAATCGCTGCTCCGATTTGAATGAGCTGTATTTGTATTGACGAAACTAAGAACTGATTATTTTTTGTTAAAAGAGGTCAAGCGATTTCGGAGATTCAATCAGAAAATTAGACATATGCATATAAAATTATAAGAATTTTAAAGAAATTTTGATAATAACTACAAATTTGTTTACATTTCTATGGGTAGAAATTTTAATAATAACTACAAATTTTGTTTACATTTCTATGGGTAGAGTTATTAAATTAGTACACAAACTTTATTCGTGATCTTAAATTTTATAATAAACAGTAAATATATATAGTCGCAAAGGATTTCTTGTGAAACTGGGAAAGATATTATAGTTTCAGATATTTTTTAATTTGCATCTCATTAGATCAATCTTACTCGCAGATGCGATGTGAATATACTACAATGATTTTCTATTCTTTTCTGAGACAAAGAAATGTTTCTTTGAGCTGAAATATTATCATATTTGACAAATATTATATTTGTGATATACTTTTTTGCTGTAAGTACTCAGTATACTAATAAATAACTTAATGTAAAAAGAAGAATTCTACATAGAGCTATTCATAAATCTTTTGAATATTATTCTAATATTTGAATATTATTTTGATGTTAGAGTTGATATCATATGGATTATGCATCAACCTTTATTCTTATTTCAAAATTATTATGATTTTTTTTAAATCAAAAATGTTATTGAATCTATGTAAGGACAATAAGCCAAATTTGCCAACAAATAATTTTTGAACTTTTATTCATTTTTATACTGCAATTAGCAAATGAGTTAACATTTGCGTATTATTACAAATGAAAAGAGGTCTATATCACTGAAAAGAGCTATTTCATTCTTAGAATCAAATTTTATTAAATTAGTCGTTTTTGAGCTTTGTTCGTTAGAAATTTCATCGGTGTTGTAATATTCGAAACGGGAAATAAATTTGAGCAATTAATAGTTTTTACTCTGGCAATTTTTCTTCTAATTTTTAAAATAAACAGCTTTATTGAGCTTTAAGCTTTTTTATGAAATTGATGGTATGATCAGTTTTGTTTGTCCAGGAAAACT